GGGCTCCCTCAAAAAACCCTAAACCCGGAAAGAAAAGAGCTTCAACGGAGAGTCTGGGTGTCCTTTCGCCACCAACTCGAAGCCCTCAGCTCATCATGGCCTAAACTCTGAACCCTAAGGCCTAAACCCCAATAAGGCTCCCCGCGGACACGGTACTGTGGAAAAAGGCCTTCAACAAAAAATAACCCTAAACCCTACGCCCCTAAACCCTAAACCCTAAACCCTACGCCCCCTAAACCCTAAAACCTAAACCCTAAACCCTAAACCCTACGCCCCTAAACCCTGCAGCCTAAACCCTAAACCCTAAAGCGTCAGGCCTACTCTGGTCCGCCGCATCGCCAAGTACTCCTATGTGCTAGCCCAAGTCTGCCTAAGTCTGCACTTCCGGATTAGGGGTATAGGGTTCAGGGTTTAGAGCTTAAGTGTTATAGGGTTCAGGTTTTGGGCTGCATGGAATCTGCAGGCATGCCTTTGGTGTAGCGGATGAGGATATACAATCATCTTTGTCTTACTGGCCCTTCGTAGCGAGTGAAGGAAGCCCCTTTGCTTGCCGACTCCTTTCAGGATACTGCACCCCGTTGACGCTGCAAGCTCGTTCACAGCCTGGAACCTATTGGAGCGCACGTGCCGTGTGGATTTTTTGATAGTCAATTTGATAGTCTTTGATTCTCTGCTATGAACTGAACTGGTAGTACGGGAAAATTCAAGCTGGCAGCGCACGGGTGAATTTATCACCTAGGTTTTCACAACTCAATGACGGTTTGGTGGTTAGCACGTCAACGTGTTGTTGAATCCTTTGAAATCGGCGAGAGGCCTAATGTCTAACTTCCTAAACCCTACACCATGTTTGAAGCAGATGTCTTAGGTCCTACACCGAATAGGGCAAGGTGTTGTTGGGTCGTTCAGGAAATTTGCTTCTCTCAATGCACGAAAGCTTTGTTAGGTTGACCAGGGACCAGAACGTGATCAGGAACTGAAAGAAAGTGCTTGACACACAGGTTGCACCCAAACAAACGATCCGAAAGCAAAGCTTAGAGCTCAGCTGCCTGCGTGGTGACTTCGGGTGCATTGTGTCCGGCTGTTCAGCTGTGACTGACGCTGGCTTACGTTTTAGCGGTTATGGTTTTGTGTTCGAAAGTCTGCCACAGTAAACACCAATGTGTCCCACTTAAGGACCTATGCCGGCATGCAGCCTTAAAGGAATCCTTATAGCTGCCCTTAACAGAATGCCGAGATGCCACAGCCGGCCTGGCACGTGACGCCTGCGAATGAGACGGTCCTTCAACACAGGCAGCTGCATGCAGAGTCTGGCGGCAGCATTTGTTGCTTTGCTTGTGGACGTCGGGTTCCTTTTAGGGGTTTGAGGGTATAAGGAGTCTATAAGCTTGCTACAAGGGGTTCAGGCTTTTAGCTTTCAGGTTTTTGGCTTCAACTCGGGCTGGCCTTGTTGCCTAGGACTGAAAGGCTCCACAACCAAAGTAAGCTTTCGTTTGCCGCTTGTGATACAGAAAGAAGCCCCTTTTAGCCATATCTCTATGTATGTATATATATATATATTATATGTATTCACAGACAGTGTGTATAGATATATAAATATACACACATGTATGCATAGATACCTGGCTAGCTCGCTAGCTGGCTAGCTAGCAGGCTACCCACCTACCCACTGACTGACCCACCGACCGACCCACCGACCGACGGGCCGACCTACCGACCTACCGACCTACCGACCTACCGACCTACCGACCTACCGACCTACCGACCTACCGACCTACCGACCTACCGACCTACCGACCTACCGACCGACCGACCGACCGACCGACCTAC